CCCCGCGGCTTGTCAAATCTTTGGGCCACTTCCAGTTCCCTGGCCGGGCTAGGGAGTGCAGTCGTTGCAACACGGCTCATTAAACTCCGCTTCATTTTTTGACAGCAAACAACCAGAATGTGATACTCGGGTGTGTGTCTAAAATGCAGCTGTTCAGAGTTGTGGGGGCTTTTTGGTGAATAAGCTGCATGTTCCTGAAAAATAGACGTTTCTCTTAAATGGAGCTGAGGAGATTTCTTACTCTGAGCCTAACTGGGGGGAGTGCAGCAAAGGTGCTGGTAGTTGTGACCTGAGCGAGAGTCCTGGCTGTGCCTGTATCTGATCCGGCTGTATTGCAACAGTAGTTCCTCCAGAACGGGCAGCTCTAATTCTTTCTTCAGTGGGTGTCGCCAAGTGAAAAATAAGTCCGGATTGTTGAACCCAGTGCTGGCTATTTGCTGACTGCATCCTAAATGCCTGTCATGCATAGAAAGCTTACTAAAGATTCGTAAAAGTCACAGCCTCATAAAACCTGCACATCAACCCCTCTTTAGCGGCCAGCTCAATGTTAAGGGACTCTTGCCCGTGCAAGGATTATAGGATTGAAAGAAACTTTAATGGAATGGGCTTTCATGTTATAGAATAAAAAAAATGTAGTCAAAAAATGGCCAATGATGACGTGCGCTGCTTTTAAAGTGTACCAGAGGAATAGCTGAAGCTGTCAGCAAAGATCTTGGCAACAGGGCTAGAAACTGTAAGAAGGTAAATGACCTCACTTTCTGGGAGTCCCATTTAGGCTTTACAAGTTTATAATCTCAATATACTCAATAGTAAGTCTCTGAGTTACTTAGAAACAACTATGTTTATCCATAGCCATATGAACATTACTAAAAGTTCAGAAGACTTTCCTTCGGCTCACTAAATCTTGCTGGGCAAGAACATTGAAAGAGTGCTTTGGATGAGTTTACAAGGAGACTGGAAGGCTGTGTGGTTTAGGTGCTTATAAAAAGCTGCTTTTAAAGATTTTATCCAAAGCAGTCAGGATGAGATAGTGAGATTTTTAGGACCTGCTCAGCACCTTTGAAAATAAAGCCTGCAAGGCATTAGTGTTTTGTACTTGAATGTGACCTCTATATGGCACAGTCCTCCATTGCGTAATGAATTTTTGGCTATAGTATAAACCCATGCTTAATAACTTAGTTTTATTCCCAGTGAGTTCACTGGCCCTACATGTTCGTAAGACATGTAAACAAACAGAGCCACAGCCTAGAAACGCAGAAGGACATATAAGGACTTGGAACATTTTGCACTCACTGTCTTCCTGTGAAACTGCTTTTGCAGTCAGAGTCATGCTTTGAAAACACCTTTAATAAAGACCTAATTCTGTTCCCACTGTGCCTGAGGATATGTGCAGGTGCTGTTTTTAGTTTCAGCAAGAGCCCTGCTTGACCACCATCTGAACCCCTCACAAGGTTTTGGCAGAGGGAGGCAATTGCCTCCAGAGCTGCAAAAGATTCCCCCCTCAATATTCAAAGGAGGGGAGACAACTGAGAAAACTAAAATGGTGGGGTTTATAATTATTTCCTTTTTTCAGGCCTTCCTGCAAAGTTTTCTTTGCCAAGGACCCTCTGAAGATAGTGCGTGCTCAGGGCCAATATATGTTTGATGAGAAAGGAGAAAAATACTTAGACTGTATCAACAACGTCGCACATGGTAAGCGGTTTAACTTGTAAGACTGCTTCTATTCCTTCATTTCTAATAGGGATCTGAACCCACATTTTTTCCAAGTGATGAAACTCACAGCGTTTCTCTGATTCTCTTTTTGTGATTCCAGAACTGATTGCTTACATGTAATAATTTATTATTCTCTTCTATAGTTGGTCACAGTCATCCATACGTGATAAACGCTGCAACAAAACAGATGGAACTGCTCAATACAAATTCCCGGTTCCTGCATGACAACCTCGTTCAGTACGCACAGCGTCTTACAGCCACCCTGCCCGAGAAGCTCTCTGTTTGCTATTTTGTTAACTCTGGGTATGTCTGAATATTATTTTTTATTCCATTTTGACTATTTTCCTCCTGTTTGAGATGGATGCTCAGAAGAGCTTGGTCTAAATATTTGAATAGAAGCATAGAATTATATGGATTGGAAAAGACCATCAAGATCATTGAGTCCAGCCATTAACCTAGCAATTCCTGATCTGCTACTAAATCATGTCCCTAAATGCCCCTTGCTAAGTAGAACTTAGTAATAAGCAACAAAAATATTTTGAGTACTGATTCAAGGATCCTTCCTAGTTACAGCTGTCCTCTTTAGTGTGATGGCTCAATGCCAAAGACCCTAAACATGAAACTAGTCTCCTGAATGCTATGTGGAAAAGGAGGGGGGGGAAAAAAAAACCAAGAAAAGTAAATTAGACTGCAAATTAGTGAACGTTATGTATGGATTGGTGACCACTATCTGTAAATTGACATATGACCCTGGAAAATAGTAGTCTTCTTTAGGCGGTCCATTTAGTCTGTGATCACTTAGGTTGCCAGAACAGACATCCTGCGGGGACTTGTGAGCAGAGGGGCTGCTATGGGCCAGGCTGGAAGTTGGAGTCTTCCCCTCCCGGGGAGCAAATTTGCATTCTCTGCTGCCTGGTGGTGCAGGCGCTGGGGAGGACTGAGCTGTTGTGGAGGGTGGGAGACGGTGCTGACACGCTCTTGCTTTTCGAGGGTTTGCGGCTGCATTGTGCTGTTGGCTGTAAAGCGGTTTCATTAGTATCACGAGGAGGTAAATGTCTGCAAGTGAACTGGGGGAGGGAAAGAAAGCATCTCTTTGTTTGCTGTTTATATGAAGAGCTCTGGTTTTTTTCTTTGCCCTCTTACATGGCATTTGCAGTCTCAATCTTAGCATTGCCATCTGTGTAGTAACAGAGCCTGCTGTGTTGATTTACCAAATCCATCAGTGGCGTGCCTCCTCTCGTGTATTAGAATGCCATTTTAACTGGAGGCTCTTCCTCACTATTTTGTGGCTGCATCTGTTATTATGCAGGTCTGAAGCAAATGATCTTGCTTTACGACTGGCTCGGCAGTACCGTGGGCACCAAGATGTGATCACCCTTGAAAAGTAAGTACATAAAGTATCTTATGTGAATGCAGCCAGCAACTCCTGCTGTTGCTTCAGAAGCAGCTTTGCAGCAACCCCCCTGCTGTTTGTACTCCACTGCCTGATGAAATAAAAGCTTTGATGCTTTCACACCAGGACAGGTCAGGAAATCCCTTTTCACATTTTGGATAAACACAAGTTTTGAATGTCTCTGAAAAATAAGCTTGTCAGTCACCCCAGAAGGTCAATCACCTGTTACAGGGCATTTCCCACAGAAACTCCCAAAGCAATTCAGGCCAGAGACTTGACTGTTGGTTTTCAACATCAGTGTGTGGTCTGGTCACTGGGCTGCTCTGGAAAAGGGCTTTCTGTTTGCTGCACTCTGGTGGACATTTATTAGCAGCCTCAGTCGGGAGAAGCTGAGGATGGAGTTGGCTCTGTCACTGTTTCACTGCAACATCTCATCTTCCTGAACACCACATGGTATTTCTTAGCCCAGGTCCCAGAGCTCTGTAGGCTTCTGCCGTAGCTGCCCTCCCAGACTTTCTGTCCTTTGTGTCCACTGGCAAATTTCACTGACTGGCTAGTAGAAAGGTGTAAAGAAGAAGGAGTTCAAAATCAGCCTCTCTACACCATGTGTGTGCTACTCTGAGATTGTGACATGCCTTTGCCTCAAGTTTGTGGCTGAACGAAAATCTTTATTCTCTGACTGAAGCTGCTATAAGCTTTAGGTTGAAAAGGCTCCATTTCCTCACTTCTAAATCAAATTGGCCTGAGTAGTAACCAGCTTTAACATACTCTGCAATATAGAGTTTTTATATTCAAACAATATTCATCCTTATTCTGAAAGTGGCATCTGCCAAACAGTGTAGGTTGTAGGGCCTTCAGGGCAGGTAACGGTGTGCTCCTGCCACATTAAGATTGCCACCTTCTGATGTAATTCACTCTCTTGGGAGTCTTTGCAATGGTATCTAGCTTGCAAAAGCTTGGGTTGGCCAGAGTGGGGCCCACAGGTTGGAAATGAGGGAGCTGGGCCCACTCTTCAACCCTGCGTGCAGAGCACTCTGGGAGACATCATCTTGGTCTGTCCCCATGCCGGCCTTTGATTTTAAACAAGAAAAAACACCTCCTGGTTCCAGTCTTGCTAGTGATTTTAAGTCAACAGCAACTTCATATTGCCTTTGTGAGAAAGATGGAGCAAATTGAATCTGTGGTGTTGCAGATACAGTTGTTTATTCTGGAATATTTATGGGCACAGTTGTGAATTTAGCTCTTTATACATTTGGTGATAAGTGACTTTGATATTTAATAACACTCATGCAGTGCTTACCATGGCCATGTTACATCTCTGATTGACATCAGTCCATATAAATTTAATCAGCTGGGAAAGGACAGCAAGAAGGAGTTTGTGCATGTGGTAAGTGTGATTTTTTTTTTCTTTTTGTCACTTTTATGCTTGTTATGTAACATATTGAATTATCCACATCTGGTGTAAATACATTTTTGTTCTGTTTTGCTGATGCTAGAGTGCATACATCTGGTTGGTTGTCAGTGGATTAAATGCAGCAAAATAATTTTCTTTTGGATTTCTGAGAGTGTATTCAGCAGTGAGGCTGATTTCCTTTGTAGTACTACAAATTCCCCGAGTCACTGCATGGTGTAGTTACACAGTTTAAAGAAATTAGTCAATATCTGTTGTGTTGGTTTGGCTAAAGATATGCAGGACTTTTGAGCCTACTTCCAGAAACTGGGAAGGCAGACTCCACTAGTTCATATAGATTTGGGTGCAGAGCTCACAGCTGTCCAACTGAGCAGGAAATTGTTTGGTTTTCAGCCTGAGCTGGTATATCTTACAAAACCAAAAATCATTCTCAGCCCAGAGATGTATACCAAGCAGGTCTTTCCTACCTAGACCTCCTTGTGTTAACCACACTACCAAAGTGGCATCTCTCTCTTTATACCAATTCCTTTTAACTGAACCTCTTCTAACACCATTTGTAGAGGCTTGAAGGTCATACAGATACATGCCGTCACTAAGATGCCGATCGAGAAGTGACAGACTGGAAAACCCCAATAAGCAGTTGCGGAAATGGATCTTTTTGCAAAAATTGGAAATAAGATGATGGACAAGGATTCAGTCTTGGGGGAGAGGAGGGACAGTCTTGAAAGGTGGATGAGGTAGATAGCACCTCTTTTAACGGTTGCATCCAATGGTGTTGCACACATAGTAGGGCTGGATTGAGTTTAAGCTCCTGTAAGCATTTTTGCAATTCCATGCAGAAATTCAGGCTGTACTAACTCCTATTATCTATCTGTGTGGAAAGACAAACCCGCACAACAGAAAAGAGAGTAAATGTTTCATAGAAGGATGGGCTTTAAAAATATAGATATATAAAAATTTGGTCTTTTCAGGCTCCTTCTCCAGACATCTACAGAGGGAAATATAGGGAAGACCACTCAGATCCAGCAAGTGCTTATGCTGAAGAGGTGAAAAAGATTATTGAAGAAGCACAGAAGAACGGACGCAAGGTGTGTGCTTTGTGCTCTAGAAATGCTGTGGCATGGGGACATGAAACAGGCAGCCAAGGACATGTTTCTTTACTCAGTTTCCCTTGCTTCCCCCTGCCCTTCATTTTTCTATGGTGGGTCCTGTGTTCATAATGGGCCACTTTTCTACCTGATGCTCTTACCATAATTTTTTTAGGCATCAATGAAAGGATCCATAATACAGTTGTAAATAGGCAGATACAACCAAAGCAGTTTAATTTCCTACTTTATGCATTGAACCAGTAGATTTTATATATCTTAGGGAAAGCTTTGAGGTCAACAGCGAAACTTCATCATGAATTCTATCAAGGATATGTAGAAGTCTTCAGGAGATGGAGAGAATATGCTATTTAAAATCTTGATACTAAATTCCTGAGTCTAGTAGTTTAAGATAATTTTAGAGTCATGTAAAGAGATGAACCTTTCAATCATGTACCACATGACCTTGATAAAACCAGAGGATTTCTGACCAGGCTTACCTAAAATGTGTGTTAATGTTTAGTGTGATGGCATTAGCATTTTGAGACATGTAAGGCTTGATCCAAAGTCCACTGAAATCTTCTGTGACTTCAGTGGAGATTGGATCAACATGTTCCCTTCTAGTCCAATGGACTTACGTCGCTCTTCTTTTAGTTTCTTCATCAACTTTTTTTTATTCTCTACTAACGGATAGTTTTGTCTTTTTCTTCCCTTGTTTCCTTTCTTTTGCATATTTCTTAGGTTTTGGTGACATAGACCTGTGGCAGGACAAGTTGTGCTAAAGGCTAAGCCTCACATGCCATGGGAAGCTTCGTACTCTTTGGCCGTAGCATGCCTCTTCAAATATAGTGTACGATTCTTTACACGTTACCGCTCGGCCTTGTTTCCAGGAAGACTGCACCAGCCCAGAGAGACCTCTTGATGCTCAGGGAGGGGTTCACAAGTGGTGTGGGGATTGCAATCCCTTAAATAGCAGACTTATGCTGAGACTTTGGGGTAATATTGTATCTCTGCTGCATAGACTTCTGCCCTTGACAAGAAACGAATTTTGATGCTCCAGTGTATCTGATCCACTGCTCTTGCCCTTCCTGACTTGAAATAACTTTCTTTTTCATTCCTAGCAACTGGATTTATCACCTGTAGAATTTTTCTTCTCTTTTGTCAAGTGCCTCATGCTGACATTTTACTTGTGTAGCTATTTGCATTAGCCAGGGGTGCCCAAAACATAGCCTCAGGTCATCTTACAGTTCAGTTTCTACTCACCTCTACCCGGTGTTCAGGATTGAACAAAAAAGTTGATCACCACTTATATCCATTACTGGAGAGCTTTGGCATCAATCAAGTTTCATTAACTCCTTGGGGAAACTGGCAAACACTGTAAATTGAAATTTGTAAATAAATTTACAGAGCTCCCAAGAGGCTGATCCAATGTCCACTGACACCAGAAGTGTCTTCCACTTCAACAGCTGGAGGACTAGGGCTTAACAAAGGCCATTATATTCCCGTCAGGTTGCAAAGGTGGCCCTGGCTACTGCAAATTTGGGCACCCCAGATTACAAAATGAATGAATTCTTTAGCTATAGCTGTTCTCAAGAGCCCTCAGTTGTCCAACCTGTTGTGTGATTAAATTAAGGTACCCATTTAAACATTTATTTCTAGACTGTTAGATGTTTGTGCAAAGGCCAAGTAGATGAACAAGCTCTCACCTGAGTTTGTTTTTTCTAGATTGCTGCCTTCATAGCCGAGTCCATGCAGAGCTGTGGAGGCCAAGTCATTCCACCTGTGGGCTATTTCCAGAAAGTGGCAGAGTATGTACATCACTTCAAAAGGATGTAACTGGAAAATTAACCAAAGAAACAGGTTTTTCACTATAGGCTTATCCAATCAATTCAGCCATCATGCTCTCTTGTTCTTGGCTATCTGCGAGTCCTTTCTGCTTTTTGGAGAGTAGGATTCCACTTCTATTTTTTTTATGGAACATCAGCTGACTAATTGTTTACAGCTGGATAATTGTCTTTCCTTTTCTGTCTTCAATCCTCAGGCCATAAGTTTGATGGAAGATGAAGCTGAACCACCATAAATAAAATCCTGAACTACCATTACGGTGCCCCTATTTTGTGTCAAAATATCAGATTGTTTTTCTTTACATTTAGCAAACTAAAAAGAAATTATCAACTGAAATAGTTATAGCTATGTTTCAGCAGCCACATTCTTTCTTTTTTTTTACTAACCTGGAGAATTTCTGTAATACAAACTCCCCCGTCCCGGATTTCCTACCTGAGACGTGAACTGCAGCACTGGTCATTCAAGCTATTCTATTTGTTTTCAGGCATGTGCATGCAGTGGGTGGCGTGTTCATAGCTGATGAGGTCCAGGTTGGCTTTGGCAGAGTTGGGAAGCATTTTTGGGCATTCCAGCTGCAAGGCGAAGACTTTGTGCCTGATATTGTCACCATGGGAAAGCCCATTGGCAACGGCCACCCTATGTCATGTGTGGTCACAACAAGAGAAATTGCTGAAAGTTTTGGTGCCTCTGGACTGGAGTATTTCAATACAGTAAGTTCATAGGTGAAGTTTTGCCTTTTTTTCTTTTGGTCTGCATTTAGCAGTTCGAAGTTGTTCAGGTCATTCAGCTGACCTCTGCATCATATCAGTAAGAGTGCGAGTCAACCATGGTCTGATATCTAAAAGCCAGTGGAAAGGCTTTGAAATATTCTCTGTACCAAGTGGCGTATCTTAATGTGGACCATCACTAGCTCTCTGGCAAGTCATGTATCTCACCTCACATCCATACAGATAAATTCATCTTTACTTCTCTTTCTCTCTCTCTACCTCCCCACCACCTCTACCTCACCACTACCCCGTGAAATGCTGACCATGTAAATCTTCTAGGATAGACTCAGTGTTGGTGGGGCTCATGCCTTGGCAGACCTTGCTCTGCAGTCATCACTTAACAAAACAGTGACCTCTTATCAGGAAATATTTGAGCTGCGTGTATGCCGCAGAGGAGCAGCTTTCTTGTTTACTGTCTTCCTTCTGTACCTGTGGCTGAGCCTTCTTCCTAGCTACCAGGAATTCCTCTGCTTTCAGTGGACTTTATGCCCTCTGGTTCAAGAAATAGCAGATTTATCACCCACTGCTCTTCACAGGAGCATTTTGCCTGCACATGCAATTAGCAAACCACGAAAGCAGCTTGAATGCTTCGGGTATGAAACCTCCAAATTACAGACATCTGAAGTGGAGGAAGAGCAAGCTCCTCTGTTGGGCCTCTTACACTGCCCAGACTGTGGTGGATGATACCTGTATGGCACAAAATCTCCACCTCTCCAAGCTTTCCTCACAATATGCCAAGCAAGAGAGGGCAAGGGAGAGCTATGTGGATCGATGAATATTTCTGATGGGTTTTGTTTTTCTGTTTGTCTTTACTATCAGTTTGGAGGCAATCCAGTGTCTTGTGCTATTGGTTTGGCTGTGCTGGATGTAATAGAAAACGAAGATCTCCAAGGAAATGCTACACGCGTAGGAAATTATCTTCTGGAGTTGCTGGCTGAGCAAAAGCAGAAACATCCCTTAGTGGGAGACATCAGGTGAGTACCTTGCAGCAATGTCAGAGAAGAAAAAGTCTGAGAGCAAAATCAACATTTCTGTGTTCCTCTCACTCCAGACTTGTTATGTCATGATTATGCTATACCTCTTTTTTTTTCTTTTTTTAAATTGACTACCCAGAACTGATACTGTAAGGTAATATATTTTTTTTAAAAAAGTTGTCCATCTGTCTGCTTGGCAAGGTATAAGCATAGACACTAGGAAAGCTGTGGGACGGAGCAGGAGAGAGAATCATCCATGTGCAATAGCCCATTTATCAGCATGCTGTTGGGATGATGGAGACCTTGTTCGAATCCCCAGTCCATTTCATTTGGAGATGTTAGCATGGATTTTCCACATCTCATGTTATTACCATGATAACTGCCTTCTTGTTTTGTTTGTTCATGTAGATTTCAGGGGGTTTTTGTTTGTTTGGTGGGGGTTTTTTTAGGGTGCAGGTGTTGGCTTATGAGTTTTTTTTCACTTCATGGCTTTGGCTATTTGTCTTCCACAACTCCCTGTCTTGTGGTTTGCAGGATAAGAACAGAATAATTATATTTCTCTCTTCTTAACTGACCATGTAGACTTAATGAGGCCGCTAAATTTATTTATCCAGAAACATCTGTTATCCCACTTGATAGTCAGAAGGTAGCCAGTGCCAAAAGCCAGGCAAAGAGAAAGTCCTCTCTCTTTCCTGGTTTTTCCCTGCTCATGCCCCAGGGAAGGGAGTTGCAGTGATTAGAAACAATTTTGCACTTGCAGCAAAAGACTTGGGTTACTGACACTAGACTTTACTTGTCTGTTGTGTTTTTTTTCTCTGCTCCAGGGGTGTTGGATTGTTTATTGGAGTGGATCTGGTGAAAGATCAACAAAAGCGAACACCAGCCACAGCTGAAGCCCTTCATCTCATTTACAAGTAAATGGCTTTTAAAGACTATATTTAATAGACTTCAGATCAAAGACTCCTAATATTCCCCGACATTTAGTCATTAATTTCAGTTTAAACTTGTACAGCTTTTGATAATTGAACTAGAAAAATTTCAGAAAATCTCACTCAGCGTAAAGGGTCTGACAGGACACAATGTAGTTTTATACCTGTGTCTAACACAGATGCTTCCTCTTTCCACAGGCTGAAAGAGCATCAAATCCTTCTTAGTGCAGATGGACCCCACAGAAATATACTAAAATTTAAACCACCAATGTGCTTCACAATGGAAGATGCAAAACATGTAGTGGACATAATTGATGCACTTCTCACAGGTATGTATTATTTAGTGCTCAAAGTAATGCTCTTCTTGGTTCATTTCCAGATGACCCGTTAGAAACACTGTAACCTAGGTGATTACATGCAAGGGAAAGCAATTACATTTCTTACCCCTTGTCCAAATTGCTATTCTTAATGCCAGTTATTGTAACTAAATAAAAAGCCCCATACATACTTCATCCAAGCTTTAAAGCAAAATCCTGCTCTTGCTCCTTTCTCTCACAATCACAGTGTTACTACTCACTCCTGGTCGCCTATGTTGTATGTTAAGGACCAAATATATTAATTTGGCAGAGGCCTAAAAGACACTGCTGACAGACTGTTCTACCCTTTTTCTTTTTTTTTTTTTAACTGGTGTTCTGGAACATGATTGTCTCACACAAATTTAGCCTGAAGGTTTTCAGACTCTATTTATCTTTACCTGGAGACCAATCAAGGGGAAGATAACCTCAAGTATACTATTAGCGTAAGGACTCCCCAAGCTCATTCTGTGTGAAACACTTCCGTCTCCTGAGATTATAACAGCTGGAGTTAGACTAGAATGAACCAGCTGGAAAAAGGCAAAATTCAGCTCTGAAAGGTTTACCTGAACCCTCACGCTACGGTCAAGCTGCTAGTACCATTCTTTTCTTTAAACACGCCCAAGCTGCACAGTCTTGATACATTAATCACACTGCCTCAGAAAAATGTTTTAGAAAGTACTCATCATTCTTCAGTTACTTTTTTCTGGGGTAAATGCCCAGAGGGATAGCTGATTAGGAATTTTTTACATGAGCCAGCTGTTAAAGTGACTCTATGCTTACTCACCCCAGTGGTTTTTTTAAAAAATTTAATTATTTTATTACTTTTTCTTTAGAAATGGAAGAAGCAACTGGAATGAAGACAGAAAATAACACATCTACAAATGCACAGTGTAAAAGAAAAGTATGTTTTGACTTTGCTTTTAATTCTATTCATATAGATGTTTGGCAAAGCGAATATAAATTACTTTGGTATAGCATACTTTCTCTTTTGGTGGTGCAAGTGGGTTTGTGCCTTGAAACTGAGCTCAGAACATAACCTGGTACTAGAAACCTGAGACGATTGTGTTGCTGAGGCAAATCTAAAAAGAGCTCAGTAATACAGACAGACCTCCAACGAGAAAAATATTATAGACAAGCCCTTCACCTTGCCTGCCTTCTGTGCAAACAAGGCCAGCCAGGCTTTGGGCTGCACAAAGTTGTGAGCTCAGCAGTCAACGATTTTACTAGTTCTAGGTATTGTGTGCTACCGGTGAATAGTTGGCTTTCTAATCAAGCCTTCAGCCTGGAAGGTGTCCAAGTTTTTGGAGAGTTCAAGGATTTTGTTTCCACCATAGCTCTTCGACTATAAATGGCTGACGTGCATCCAGATTAGGACTTCTTAGGTTGCAGGCCCAGCTTTGGATAAATCATCTATAATTTCTCACACTCATAACAACACATTACCCACTGTGTTAAAGGACAGCTCGCTGAGCTGTCACTTGGTGAGCTTTCCAGTGATGGTTCAAAGGCAATAGCTTAGCTGTCTAGGGATGCAGTAAGTAAGGCAGAGACCCTATGGATTATTTGCTATCTAGATTATACTCAATTTAGCATGCACGCCTCCTCTTGCAGACTTGGGTAAGCATTCGATTCACTTCCTGTCAAAGCTAAGAAGCTGTGCCATTAATAAGAGGAGAGTCAGGCAGAGCTGCCTAATGGGAACCAAGTCCAATGGCTTCCTGTTGAAAGAGCTGCACATGCCTTCACTGACATTTCATTTCTCTTTCAGACAACTGATGGCAGTTCTCAACCAGAACGTGCAAATGACAGCATTGGCCATATGAATGGAGCTGCCTGCAGACAAGAAAATGGGCTTTATTCTAAAAAACGCTCAGTGCCAAGTAAAAGAATAAGAACATGAAGAGGGGAAGTTTCCTCATTCTGTCTGAACATGCATCTGGCTTTCTTTTGAGATGAACAGTGCAATAGTCCAAATCCTAGGATCTATTTGAAGCCTAGTTCGACCTTCCATAAACTGGCTGAATTCCTATTTCAGGAGTTTAAAATACCTTTTCAGATATATGAGAACTGCATCATGTGGCTTAAAATCTAGACATGACAGAACAGACAAATGATATACAAATACCTTGGTGCTGATGGCAGGCTTGACATAGGTACACTAACTCAATGAAATCTGTGGATTTACCCATATTACACAGAATCTGAATTGCTTAACCACCATACAAGCAAATGCCAGTCCTATTAAGATTAAAATTACATGCTTAACATGCTATTTTTATGGTATTTTAAATTTCAATATGTAATATTGAGATGTTAATTACTTCCCATGTTTTAATGGCTGAATTCAGAAAAACAATGCTTGAGAGAGAAATCACTATTATCTTCCAATGTAATTTAGGTCCTATGGACCATAGTCCCAGCTGACATGAATTGGTGTAGCTTTGTTAATATCGACAATGCTCTATACCAAGAGTCTACCACTGTGTGTGTAGAGACTCAGTGTTTATGCAGGGCATTCTCGCTTTTTGATCAAAGAAAATGAAGAACCTGGATCCTAATTTTATATGGGCAAAGCAACTTTTATAGATAACTATTTATATAGACCAAGATTTTATGGTTTTTTCCCAAAAGTTTATATATTGAATCCTCTCAATCAAAAAAACATATGCGAGTAAATTATATATCATTTCACACAAACTGATTGATTGAATTTAACCTGAGGGTCTCTCAAAACAAGATTCCCAGGGACAGCCCAGCTTGCATTCCCATGAATTTTTGTTGTTTTAAGAGTCGTGGTAATTACTGCCTGATCCTGTTGTTGCAGTGTTGTTACTTTTTGCCAGTGGTGATGAAGAGTCACAAAACATTTGCATGGGATACTGACACATAGATGGCTATGCTAACATTTGATAGATCACTAAAAAGAGAAGACTGCTGCATAAAACATGCATTCAACCACTTTGCAGTCACTGCCTATCTGTGCTGCAGATACTTTAGACTGACTTGCCCCCACCAGTGTTAAATTTCACCAAGAGCACACAAGCCCTGCTTCTCTTTTTTTTTAATACATGCATAACTCCATGCTATGGAAGACACTGAGGGTTTTACTAATGTATTGTACTTCAGATAAAAGGACAAAATGTATGTCCTCTTCAATTTTGATACCCGAAGTTCTACTGTTTTTTAATTGCTGCTAATGACCCTACTGATATGACTGAAAATTGAGCATCTTAACTAATTTCATGGTTTCCACAATTTGCTATATTAATATTGTTTCTGGTGTAACGTTTTCCAACATCCTCAAGCTGGCTTATTTTCTGTTTCATGATCCTCAAATATCTCTTCCATAAAAATAAATCTCTTATTTGTAATTATGATGACCTCCACAAAGAGTGTGGGTTTTTTTGTTTTAGTTTTATCCTGCAGTAACACCTATTTGACAAGGGAAGTAACTTCAATTTTGGCTGGGGTCATCCCTGTGCCGAAGCAGAACTGGCTAGGCTGTATTTCCCTGAGGCTTTACCTGGCCCCTGCTAACCCTTCACCAAACAGAAGGCCACAGGTCTTTTCCAACATGAAACTACACAAGGACCTAAGTCAACCTGATTCGATATGTGTCCCAAGGCACAGTTTAGGTCACTGCCTCTATGGAATGACCTGTACCTTGCATTATACCTCGGCAGCAGCAGCATGTCCTTCCAGGCAACCAAATGCTTGTATGATTTACTGGAAGAGTTACACTCAAGGCACAGAGGGCACCAGTCTATACTATGGCACTGACTGTTGTGCCGGTCATTAATTTTCAAAATCATGTCAAAGAGCTAAAGAAAAAAAATCCAATTATCCTAAATCAGGGGAGGTGAAGATTACAACTTTGTAAACACAAGTGGCCTATGCCTCTACCTCTACTCTACCTGCATCTTGCTTCTGCACGTGCTTGAAATACACAGAACAACCATTGCTCCAGTTTACTAGTTTCCCACACAGTTTCTGCTTCACAAGTCAGGAATCTCTCTTACCTGTTGATTCTGCTCCTTATGCAAGATGTTAGTTACTTAGAACAACTAAGTCTTCTATCTTCTTTAAACAAAAGAGGCTGTCACTTCTGTGATAAAAAACACAGTCATTTAAATGGAGGAACCAATTCAACAGTTACCAGGAGTTGAGCTGGACCTACTAGAATTACTATTGCTAGATCATCATCAATGTCAATTAGTATCTCAAGAGTCCACTCACAAGATTATGCACTACGAAGGGCTTACTTACTGATTGGAAGAGACTGACTAAATTATGGGAGAGTGGAAGCAGAAATAATTAAATGCAGAGAGAGTGGTTCCAGTCAGCTGAACTGATCACATACATTCCATCTGCTGAACAGGCAAGGCTGTTACCCCCATTTCAACTCTCTGGTTCCCTTTTTCTGCTTTCTACCTCTCCTGTTCTTGAGCTGCAATGCCTGGTTTTAGCCATACGGTTCAACCTCCACCCTAGCCTTTACATTCATCAGACATTTCCCTAAGCCAGTTCAACTCACTAACCTTGCACAAAAACCCAAACCCACACTTTTTTGCTCACCAGTTTTCTGCAAGGCTCGTGAACAGGTCCACGGAGGAGGCCTGAGCCTGCACAGGACATGTAACAGGAGGAAGAAACAGTGGGGTAAGGGAACAGCAGAACTCCATCCCAAGTGGGCATCATGCTCTGGACTTTTAGGACTTTTAGTTACTTTCATCTTCACTTTAGCTCATCAGCCTACTGGAAACCAAGTCATAGAATCATTGAATTGTCAGGGTTGGAAGGGACCTTAAAGATCATCTAGTTCCAACCACCCTGCCATGGGCAGGGGCGTCCCCCACTAGATCAGGTTGCTCAGAGCCCCATCCAGCCTGGCCTTAAAAACTTCCAGGGACGGGGCTTCCACCACCTCTCTGGGCAACTTGTGCCAGTGTCTCACCACCCTCATGGTGAAGAACTTCCTAATGCCCAATCTGAACCAATCCGTCTCCAGTTTTAATCCATTCCCCCTAGTCCTATCACTATCCGAGATTCTAAAAAGCCCCTCACCAGCTTGTTTTGAGGCCCCCTTGAGATACTGGAAGGCCACAATAAGGTCTCCTCGGAGCCGTTTTTTTTTCTCCAGACTGAACAACCCCAACTCTCTCAGTCTGTCTTCCTAGGAAAGGTGCTCCAGCCCTCTGATCATCCTCATGGCCCTTCTCTGGACATGTTCCAGCACGTCCATATCTTTCTTGTGCTGTGGGCTCCAGAAGTGGATGCAGTACTCCAGGTGGAGTCTCCCAAATCCAAGTACTTTTATTGCATTCTCATTGTTTACCACTGTTTCAATCACTTTTATATGGCACATTTAAGACTTTTAAGCAAACAGAATGGTCAGAACAGGAGAAATGAAAGGATGGTTCTTGCTGCAAATATCAATGAAAGAGTGACACTGCGAGAGGCTGAACCTGCCACCAGTTAATTCCCCTACATAAGCACTTAGTCCCATTAAACATTGCTGTGGGAATACACTGAGTAGAATAATTATGTGGGAATATTATATTCTGTCTGTTGCTTTTTAGATGTTTGGTTCCTTAGACATGAACATAGTCTTATCAATACATTATACATTTATAATCTTCATAGCTATTAAGCTTAGTGGCTGTGAACTAACAGATAGCCCCAACAGACCTAAGTCCAGAGTACCCCCAGCACACAGACCCAGCAGCAAGCTCTGTTGAAGTCTGATAAAAGGAGGGAGATGAATGAAAGGCACCAAAGGACAAGTCTGAAACACCGATTTTACATGTTTTGTTGCAATGTGCAAGCCATTTCAGTTCAAAAAAATACCACCAAAGCATCATGAGGCAGATAAAAAAATTAATTTTTAATGTGTTAGAAGTATGAGTCAAATGCCTGACTGGGCCCTGAGACACTTTAAACCCACACTTTAAACAGCAACATGCAAAAACAGAGCCTAAAAAAAGTCAAAAACACCCACCAGAAAAGTATTTCTAAGTGAAGAAGGCTGTTTAAACGTCTCTTGCAAAATAGGACACAAGAATTTGTACAGGCATCTCTGGGATAGTAAGTAGCCAGTGCTGCAACTACTCTAAGCTGTGAGCTGAAAAAACTAAGTGTTAAATAAGTAGCAGTTGGTACAAGAGAAGACAAAGTAAGGAACTGGGATGTCAATGAAAGAATGTTCATTATACCATACAATTATGTAGCATATTTTATATAAGCACATTTGATCTACCTTGTTGGATTTTTATTCTCCATTTAATACAATAATTTAGAAGAAGCAAATGACTAATGCTTGCAAGCAGAGCAAATTAGCTCATAGAAGCAGGATGGTTAGTTTAGTATCCCCAGTTTCTCAGTGATGACTCGAGCAGGTGTTCTAGTAGTGTCCTTTTTCAACCTGGGCTCAGCCTGTGCTGGTGCCAGCCAAGCTCTGGCAGAGGGATGATGCAAGGGAAGACAAAGTCGAATGACTGTGACAGGATTTCTCTATCTCTGCTGCCTGTATGCATTTATATTTTTCCACCTGCAATGTTTGATTTTGTCAGTGCCTCCGGTTCAGCAGAAAAGCTGAATTAGAAAATGCAAGCTATGTTTTTGTGTTTGCCACTGTCTGTGGGAAACTGGGGTGACTGGACTGTGTCATGTCATCTCTGCAGGCTTCAGCTCCCAGAGATGCAGTGCATCTTACAAAGGCTGTGAGAAAGAAGTCTACACCTGAGGACTCTTCACATTGATATGACATAAGGAAACATATTTGGGCCTAAATGAAGAGCCCATATACAAAGCATCAGAAATCTAAGGCTTTCACAGAGGTTCACAGCTCAAGACCAAACTGCACAATGCAAAACAGCCTCCAATGTCTCCCATCTCTGTTCA